GTACTTGATGGTTAGAGACACTGAGGGATATGGCTAGGTGTCGTAAACAGTGGCGTTCGTGCATCTCATCATTTTCTCTGTATCATAAGTCCAGTGGTCTTTTCAATTTTCTCTTTGATCCTACTTTCAACCATCTTGTATTCCTCCTATTGTTCACCGAAATGGGCAGCCGAAAGATGGCAACCAAAACTGGCGCACGATCGTTCAAGGTTCATGGTTATACAAAATGAACTGAACTGATCTTTGTGATCAAACACGCACTGAGACTGGACACTGTTGATTACTTGTTAACAGACCCGGATGGAGCTTGAAGTTCAAGACAGTTAGCTATGTTTGCCAGCTTTAGAGCTGAGGGAAAGCCTTTATAGGGTTGAACTACTGTGACACATTTAAGATCCTCCTTAGGAGAATTATGAATAGAGATCACTATGAGCAGTTTCGTTGACGATAACTGTTATAGTCGTTTGTAGCTAACGGCGAAATCTCTGTAGACCCCTTACAATTCAGTGAAGATCTGTGATGCGTACTTGGCGATAGCCGAATCACGTGATCAAAGTACCGTACGATGGAGAATAAAACTAAAATCCGTTATCATTGGAAATGGTTCCAGAGTAACCAACTTGAGCAATCAACGCCATAAGGATGGCATCATCATTGTACAGCGAAGTATAGTGAAGTGAACACTAATCGCTGTCAAACTCACCATGTATACCAGGTAAGTGAGAATATGTAAGGTGGAGAGGGATTGCTCCTATATTCAGGAAGTGTGAAGAAAGCGAACATCTATGATCAACAGGGTACAACTGCGCATGCACTCAAGCATTCAGGTCTGCTAAAAATTGACAATAAAGACGCCAGTACTGTCGACTGCTACCATGCCGTTCGCTGTATCTAGTCAACCGGTTTTGAAGTTCATTAGACCGCAATCTTTAATCTGTTGACCACGTGATTTTCTCCTGCCCGGTGCAGCAACTGCAAATAAGTCGCGGTTTGACAGACGACTGTTCGACATACGCATAACGTATGCCAACCAGCAAAATCCGTGGACATGAATTCGATGAATTAACCATTTTTTCCTCGATAAATTATCAAATACCGGACGACTTACCACTGCGTTACTCGCAAATTCTAGGTCTTAACCGTAAAGCAGAACTGAACCAACTATGGCGCGATTTTCAGCTTCCTTCCTGCGTGCACTACCCGAGCTTTGGAAATGCAAGCGATTATCTTTACTGTACTGCCGTGTGAGTCACGCAACTACCTAAGTACGAGAAACAGACAATTGCCAATTCTCGACCATCTAGTTTCAGAACGAAACTAGTCAGCACCCAGCACTTTGAAGGTACAAAGCGCATACGGAACGGAGTTACGGCCTGTTTGCCTATCAAGGGCACTTTGCGCGTCCTTCATACATTTAAACTGACAAACGATGTCGTCATCGTACTCCAGATCACATAGCTCTCCTCCAGTTTCCCATTCCATATTTCCACATTGTGGAAAGCACTTAGTGCGCTCATTAGTATTTCGTCTACAGAGGAGTTGATCTGGAATGGCGAAGTGGAGCACTGTTGCTGGTTTTGAATGATTTTCTTAACTGGCTGTTGAGCCTCATTCTACCACAGCTATGCGAGAACAGTGATCTCAGTAAGTTAACAAACTTCACTAGCGTCTATTTCCGACGAAGCAAACGGATTAAAACTTCACGGCCTGCTGAGTTGAAAGCTCCTTTTAAGTCAACGAACACTGCGGTCGTTGGCCGACGATGTGTATGACAAAATTCGAGGAATTCATGCATCGTAAAGATTTAGCCGATAGAACCGCGGCATGGTCGATATTCTGTTTGTATTTTGTCTGCAGTAAGGGCTTGAGATGTCGAATTATGCCGTAGGCTAACAATCTGGTGATAATTGGAATCAAACCAATCCCGCTGCAGTTTGCGCAGTGATTGAGAGGTCCTTTCATCAAAATTGGAGCGATCACTGTTTCACTTCTTGGTGATGATATGCGCTCCTTTTTCTTCAGGGTCGTACTCCTACTTCTGTTGGTGGTTTACACAAAGCATCAGCTTCCACAGACGAGATAACCTAGTCAGCATCAGCTCAGTTGAACTGTTTATCATAATACTCCCATCACGATGAGACTGCGCTTAGACATGTTGTGATGACTCTCGCACCTCCAAAACCCAACGAGCTACTCAGAGGAGCTTTTATCACACCAAAAAATCGCATACCTTGAAGGTCAAAAGGTAAAGTCAGATGAAGTCCAGTATCCTGATGCACTGGGTTTTAGATTAAACTCTATTTGGTGTCTTTACCAGTAAAATATTGTAGATGCAGTCGGTCCAAGCAAGAAAACCTCCTATCCGCCTTTTACGCTGCCCCACGGTCAGGTTCTTGTCCAACCTTAAGACTGTGTTTGACCGTAATCGTTCTCTTTATTACACTCATTGTTTAGTGTGAACAGCAGACTGGGCGAACGCCATGTTTGCGTAGATCTGCTATTCACTGATGGAAACCGGCAACCTAAGCCTCGGGACCTGGAGTGGCGAACCACATAAGGCCCCGCTAGGCTAGGGCTAGTTGAACCGCCTAACATTACCCGTCCACAAACTCCAACGAACGCACCAAATGAAAATAATTCTATACTGTATCGGTCGTCGTGAAAGATAATTAGGACAGCGTTTCCCATTGCATCCATTGGGTGGTTAGTGATAAGAGGGCTATTGCTCAGATGCCACAGCCTTTCTTTATCTTCCGTACCCAACTTTCTCACTTTTCCCGTTCTTCCGACCCGTTACAATCTATCATACCACTTGTTTATCACTCGCCAAAGTACTANGCCAAATAGCACTGTAAACAGTTTACCGCTAAATAAATTGCGGAATCAGAAGCCTCGTCAATCATAGACGTTCAGTATGAGAACTCTGATGTAAGTGGGTCAACCGTTTTGTCTTGAACATACAGCGAACTCTAGAAATCGACGTCTGCTGCGAACCGGAGACAAGAATCCAGGATATTAGTAGTATAAGCTATTTAAGTGCACCTAGTTTGTCCTCATTGATATTTCCTTCGCACATCAGGAGACAATGAAGTTCGCTTACTGGGTTCGTTTATTTACTTGGATCGATCGCTCCTGCACCTAGCTGAGGCACTAACCCGAGNTCGTGAACCGGAAAAGCGAACTTTGTTTGACTGTACCCTTTGATTTTTCAGGCTTGAAATGGTTGTTTGGTTTGATAAAAGCCATCCTGTGTAGCTCATCCAGTCGGAAAGGTGCACAAGACGTCACCGCGTCGAAGTGCATTCTCTTTATGATGTTGATGTGCTCCAAATTCTCCTTTTCTTTAAGTAAATGTATCTGTTCGAGGCATTCATAAAACCGCCTTTGTGTTGTATTTAGTTTGTTGATATGGGACCGACAGGAAGATGCTTACCGTTTTTCTGAACGTGTAGTTGTCATAAACAGCGGCGTTCGTGCATCTCAATTTTTTGCAACCTCTACTTTTCCTATTTTCTGTTCGACCTTACTTTCAACTTTCCTGTCTTCTCCTATTCTTCATCCAAATGGGCAGCCAAAACCGGTGCACGAAAGTACATGGTTAATGGTTGTACAAACTGAAACTGAGTTGTCTCTATAATAACCTGTGCTCTTTCTGACCAAGGAATAGCCAGTGCTGAAACTGATGGAACCGTGTGTTTACAATGTGCTAGCTTAAGTGAATTCTCACTTTGCAATACCGAATTGCTCTCGGGCACAAAGTGATTTCTATCGCCGATTAGCAAACCTCTAAATCCGTTGATAAGTGTTTTTGTACCTTATGCCCTCAATTTTCAAGTAGCTGTCTGATCTTCTGACCGAGTTATTATCTTGACTGTATCCAAAAGTATTGCAAAGCAATCCCTGAATTTGCGAAACCCAGATAGTCGAAGCTATGTTTTGTTTTTTTTTGCTCGCCGAGTGTAATAAATTTAAGGTTCTTTAAGTTGCTACAAGGAACTCTTTCTGTTAACACTTGGAAGCGCTCTCTATCTATTTCTACACAAACTCAATAATTATACAATTTTTTCTAGTTGTTTACTATTCGGTGTTACGCGATGCCGGATGCTTCAAAAGTGCAGATGGAGTTAATGAGCAAATTAATTTGGATGGTGTACCTTCCAGTTGTGGAGAAACACTGGAGCTTTGTGCAGGGTTAATCGATAAAGATGGAAATTCCCCTACTAAAACTGCTGTTAATGAAGTTTTCGAGGAGTGCGGATATCGAATTCAGGAGAGCAGTCTTGTTTTTGTGGACAGTTTCAGGTGAGTCATTTAAATTGTTCTGTCAATCTACATACCACAACACAGCACCTGTCTCCAAATGAAGATAGTAACCTAGAACCTCAGATATAATGTTTCAGCATAAGTAAAGGGCGCCAAAAACCCAGGGCATCATATACAGCACAGTGTTTGTTGTGAACGCTGATAAATTTGTTCATTGGGATTGAAAAAGCCTAAATGATAATTGAGGAAAATATGGTATGTATGCATGTGTTTGACAACAAGCATGGTTCCAACGCAGCAACAATAATAACAGAACACTGGAGATTCGGGGTACGGAACACAGCGTTATGGAGATCAAACAGTCATAGTGATTTAAGATGCCAAGGGGAATGATGTATTTTGTTTGTTTCACTGTACTCTTTGTGTGTATTAGTTTATCACTTTTGTGGAGTACGGTATTTATATTCTGCACCATATCTATTAGCGCCTATAACCAGCGGCAGCTCTCATCCCTTGGACCCCAACCTGAAAAGCGGGCTGCTTCAACTGAAGCCAGCACGAAAGCTAGCTCCTTCACACTTCCACCTCATGTCACAGTCTGACCACCGTGGCATTTCTTCCAGTCTTGTCCAGTACGTGCAAAGAGAGCACGGAAACACAGGCGATAGGCAGGCACACGCAAAATGTGACCGAACCATCGGAGGCGTTGTAGAGTCATTACTTCTTTGAGAGAAAAGCTATCTAGACCTAACAAACGGTGACCAATCTCGTCATGGCTCACCTGATTTCCCCACCAGACACGAGCAATACTTCGGAGACATTGGTGGTCAAATAGAGGAAGCTGATTGTTATCCTCAACGTGGAGGGGCCGGGTTTCGCAATTATAAAGCAGAGTATTTTTCTTACGGGACATTTGGATGTTATGGGGCCACGAATCTCACAGGTTAGCAAAAGCTACTCTAGCTTTGGCTGTTCGTGGTATGATCTGCCCAACACTTCCAGCTGCGATGAAGCTCCCAAGGTACTTAAGTCTCTCAATCACTTCCAATCGATCACCACAGAGTGTGGGTGCGGAAACAGGCTCCTGCTAATCGCGCTTTGCATTCGGATAGTGAGAAGCAAGTAACATAACTGGATAGCTCGATCAGCAAGTAGTTTAAAGCATGTTGGACTGTCTGTGCATTGTCACCCAGAAACGTGATGTCATCAACATATTCTAAGTCTAGAACTCTGTTTCCTAGGAGGAGTTTAACTTAAAGCATTCTATAGAACATCTATGGCAAATTTAAAGAGGAATGAGGATATATGACAACATTGTCGAATTCCACCGTATACTAAATACCGGATGGGAGTGGGATGAAAGCTGGTCATATGTCCTAATCCGACATGGTATGGCGATACAGCATCCTTACGAATCGTGTTTTATTATGCTCTCTACTAGTCGGAATTGATCGGTGTGCGTTAAGAAAGCGCAGAAACCCAGAGTATCATGACACGACGAGTCAGACCACAGCTGTCTACGCCAACATAATGTAGAGACCAGTGCTAATTGACATTAGTGAGTGGGGTTTATTCTAACCTTTCACCTAGCGCGTTTTTGAAAGATAGGCTCGCTCGTCGAGACAGCTTATCACGGTCTCACCGTTGTTGTGTGATGCATTATCGAACCACATGGAGACCTTGGCGCAAACTAATGTGTGGTCGGATTCGAAGGCGGTGCCCCAGTGCGATCGGTAGTCTCGTATGGAGCCCCATCATTTGTCTCCTTGCAATGTGGTTGCTTTACATTCATCGCTGACTCGAGGAGGGCAGATGCCAAGTGGCCTACCGGCAATTGCGTTGTCTGAAATTCTTACTAGGAATAGGCGGTTGTTGGAACAGAGAGCCAAAAGGCACTCCCCGTTTTCCGACCTACAGAAATCTAAGATGTGCCCTGACGGTGGATGTATTGATCAAATTTTTACGTTGCGTCAGGTCCTTGAGCTGCGTCACCCATCGCCTACCAACGATCCTTGACCTGAAAGGAGCCTTCAACTCAGTTGGCCGCGGAGCTCTGATGGGTTCCCTTCGAAAAGGAATGCCCCAGAAGTACATTAACTTACTGAGGTCACTGTACTTGTATACCTCTGGTCGTGTAAGGGTCTATGATGAACTAAGTAGGCCATTTGTCACCAGCAGCGGTGTTCGTCAAGCATGCCCTCTCTCGCCGTTCAATTTCGTTGCAGATGATGTCGTCTGTCAGTTCGAATGTATGGAGGACTAGCAAAGCACACTTGATAGACTAACAAGTGCAGTTGACACATTCGGTATGTGCTTTGCACCTTCAAAATGCAAAGTGATGCTGCATGACTGGATTTCGCCTACCCCCGCACTGAAACTTATTGGTCAGGAATTAGTTACGGTAGATTGCTTTTCGTACCTAGGTATTTGCGTGACCGATGACGGTAGCGCAGCAAATGAGATAACCGCTCGCATCTTCAAGGCTGGAGCAGCATATGCAAGACTGAAACACCTTTGGCTTAGACGCGACGTTTCACTGAAGTTGAAAGGTCGTGTATGTTGCGCTGGCGTGCGTTCAGTTCTGCTTTATGGTGGTGAGACCTTGAATTTGCGAGTAGAAGATATCCGTCGGCTAGAAGTTTTCAATTATCGGTGTTTACGCAGTTTATCTCACGTGGGATAGAGCGAAGGAGTTAGTAACGTGGAGGCAAGTCGCCATGTGCTCGGGAATCTATCAGGGACAAATCTACTAGCACATCGAATTCAGATTAGTAGACTTCGCTGGTTGAGGCACGTATTGCTTATACCCAGCTGTCGTCTGCCGCACCGCGCTTTATTCGTTGTAGCTAATCCGGGCTGGAAAAACCACGTGGAGGTCAACAGATGACGTGGAGACGAGGCATGAAGAAATGT